CCACATAATTCTGTTTTGTCCATAAATGTGTTCACTCCTAACACCCTGTCTCTGGCTTCCCCAGGGCTCGTGAATCACCAGGTGAAGCAGCAGGAAGCCCGGCCACTAGGCAGAAGGTCCCGCTTATCGGGCTCCGGAACACCAGGAAATGCGTTGGCTGTGTGCTGTTCACACTGGGTGTGCAGGGGGCCGGGATTTCCACAACATTTGGGCTCATTTCCAGTAAAGAACTTTCTACCAAAGGGGCAAAGGAAAGCCTGCAGAGCACTGAGTTCACCCCGACTCTCTGCAAACACTAGGCACCCAGGCCTGCCAGCGAACACCTGTAACAACAAAGTTCCTGGACACTCGAGGCCGTTTTCATGACTCGTGGCAGCGGGTCAGAAAATGCATACTGCAGGCTCCACGCTGTCTGTGAGCCTTGCTCCCCGCCCCCCTGTCTTTCCGTGCTGGGCCGTGGTGTGCAAGAGTCACCTGAATTCACTGCCCACCAGAAGCGCAGTGCACGGGCCAGGAAGCAATCACTTGAATTAGCCTGCTCACAATCGCCTGAAATGCTTCAGCATTAACCTAATGTCAGACCTTCCAAGTACAAATTTCACAGCATAGTCAAGTCCCAACTCAACCCACTGCCATCCAGTGGCCTCAGCTCAGGGCAACTCTGCAGGGTGAAGGAGAACTCTGACGGTCAGTCTTCATAGGGGCAGACAGCCTCCTCTTTCTCCTGCAGAGTGGACGGTAGGTCTGAATCCCTGATCTGTGGTCAGCAGCCCAACGCTTACCCCACGACACCACCAGGACTCTGGGAGGTAGAGTCTTGGAATTTGTATTGTTGACGAAGGATAGATGGCTCCTATCATCTGGCACGTGTGAGAGGCCCTAGCACTAAGGGAGCCCAGCAATAGGCTGCATCATCTTCTTAAGATCAGCAAGTTCTGGACGATGGCCCCGCTCCACTGTGGGCCACCATCAAATGCCCTCATGCGGGGGCAGAACAGTACACAAAGCAGCCTCCTGCCTGTCTCATGCCCTGGCTAAACTGCTAGCCCCAGCTCACATGAGGTCGTCAGGCCCAGGAAATCACCCCACTTGCTTACTGGTAATTAGCCCTGATGACGCTGGAAAAGCAGCTGTGGCTTTGGGGAACCTGACTGCTCTGAAGAACCCTCTCCCCTGCTCCTCCTCCCCCCTCCCTAGAATGACTCACAGATGGCCACTTCCTGTTTTGCAGGCTCTAGCTGACCCACAGCCACAGAGGAGACTGTTATTTGGCTATTCTTTGGGCCTTACGTAATCATTTGGCTTCAATATCACATTGTTCTTGCAAATTTTTCTCAGGCAGTGATGCAATCCCTTGATTCCTTCCTATAGTAATAGAACTACAAAGCCTTCCAATAATTTGCCACAACTCCTGAACTGTAGCAATCGATTCAGTGCCCAACCCTGAAAAGGCTTTGGGCAGTTACTCAACTTAAACAAATACAAAAGCAGGACAAGCCTAAGTTTCACAAACAGACACACACATGATGCCCGCCAAGGTTTCTTTCTGATAATCTAGTGGCACGTGACATTTACATGTTCTTTCCAGTTGTACGTAAGGGACATGGGGAGGAAGGGTCAAGAGAGACATATGGCAATGGAAGTCTACCTGACCTGTTCCCAAGTTGCTCATCCCTCTGGGCAAACTTCAACCTTTCTCTCTAAAATGGGGAATAATTATACTTTCCCCATCCTACCATGACCTTTGGGAACAAATATTGAAAGGAACGCGCAAGGTTTTCTTCCAACAGGGGTCCACTGATGGCCTCCTACTGCCGTCTGGAATCCAGGAGCAATCGCTAACCACGTGGTGTCTTGCCGATAATTCAACAGGAAGGAATAAAAACGATCGTTCAGTGACCCTCTAAGAAACTGCTACACCCACACCCAAGGAAACCGAAAACCTCGCTACCATCAAGTCCATGCAGACTCATAGTGACTCGACAGGTCAGGGCGGGACGGCCCCTGTGCGTTTCAGAGACCGTTACTCTGCAGGAGTAGAAAGCCCGTCTTCCTCCCACAGGACGGCTGATGGGTTCAAACTGCTGAGCTTGCAGCAGCAGGCCAGCCGTCGTAACCACTATGCCACCAGGGCTCCAGCCCCAACCCCAAGACTCGTCTTAAGTCAAGGAGCATAGGTTCTGTCTTTGATGCTCCGGACCTCCCCGCCACCCCCACCCCATGACGACAGGGTCGGGGCTGTGCATGCCCAGGACAGTGCTTACATATCAGAGCCACACAAGCCGTGCTTGTCCGATGACCACGTAAATGGACCTGATTTCCTTTTGTCTGAGTATGGCTAGTTCACCTTGATTTTTTTCCTTGAAGTTTTATTGTGGTAAAAAATACATAACAATACATTTACCACTCCAGCCATGTTTATGTGTGCGTTTCAATGGCACTCGTTATATTCACGGCCATTGCCACGATCCCTTTCCCTATTTTCTCATCTCCCTTAGCATCGGTCAAGCAGTCCTTAAGGAATAGCTCCCTGCTTCCTGTTCCCACCCATCCCTGGCATGGCTGCATGGTACCTCTCAAGTTCAAACTGCTGGTAAGTGCTAATAAACTTGGGTCTCTATGTACTTATCTATTCTAGATATTTCATGTATGTAGGACCATACACTATAAGTCCTTTTGTGCCTAATTTATTTCATTCAGCGTAATGTTTTCAAGATTCATCTATGCTGTAGCATGTATCAGAACTTAAAT